AATACTACCAGGAAATGCTAGCTCGATAATTTAACCACTTTGTAGTTTTTCCAGAATAATGGTTAATCAAAAAAATGCAAAAAGTTAAAATTTTGTGTGCGTGGCATGCATTAACAAAGAAAGTTGTAGGTATTGAGGTAAAATTGTTTTGAAGTTGCACTTGTAAAGGTAACAATGTTTTGTTTTAGATACTTGCATTAATCAAGGAATTGCACGTATTGAGAGTTGCGGTTACCGTGTACGCTCTGTATATATTTTTTCATCGGATAAACAGAAATTATGTCACGAACAATATAAGGCTCAAACTACGAAAAACACGTTTTTATACCTTAAGTCCAGATTGTGAGGGGGTATTAAACATTCTAAGTATGCATATTTTTTGTGCATCATTAGATCTATAATTTTATCAGTCACACAGTGTATTATCCCGACGAAGTCTTTGACGATGGCACCGGGTGGGGAACGGTACGTGACGGTAGGAGGTTTAGTTTGGGTTAAAGTCTCACACTGACGGGGGTAAGCTTTCGATGCTTCCTTCTCATAAAAAAACATGTGCAGTAAAAAGTTAATTATTTAAATCGACGAATAGTTTTATATCAACCTTTGTGAACTTCTATTTAAATGTTTGTGTACAACATATCTCTATTGGTTACAATAAGTTTAAGCTATAATAAAAATTTTTTAGTAATAATTATTGGTTTTGAAAAAAATGTTTGTATAAGATTTTGATACAAAAATCCACCTAAGACTTAAGTGTCATCGGTGTTATTAATGCTGACCTTGTATAACGCTTGACAGAAGAATTTGCTATTAAATTGCAAAGTCAGAATTAAGATCAGTGATAACCGCTAAGTCCCAGAGGGGTTCCAACATCACAAAATAGTTTTTGTGAAAATGGCAGATAGAGGGTATTGACTGAAAGCCCTCGATATAGGATCATTTTTTTCCCCGAAGTGAACCAGGTACCGATCTTTTCTAAAAAAATCGCATTTATGGTCCGATTTGCTTAAAATTTGGTACGTAGGTAGCTGTTTGTCTGCATTATTTAGCATATAGGATCCTTTTTTCCGGGAAGTGGACCAGGGACCGATCTGTTCTAAAAAATCGCTCTTATGGTCCGATTTGCTTAATTTTTTTTTTCCGTAAAAAATGGTTTAATATAAATATGTCGATAATTTCATTTCCCACATTTGTTATATAGAAGGTTTTTTAAAAATAGCATTTTTTATTGTGAAAAATTAGCAAAAACTGTGAAAAAAGTTTACATTGTCACTGTTTTCGCCATTTTTTGACAATTTCTGTTGAAAATACATAGCATATTGAAATTCCAAAGATGTCTACAATTTCATTCTCCACAACTTTTGTACCTACATTTGTTTTGTACGACGCTTAGATCACGGCCGGGAACGCGATAAACATCGATGGCGGAATGTTGCCAAATCAAATGTAGTGGCAAGACTGTGGATTCATGATCTACGTGTCAAATAGAAGTAAACTGCATCAAAAAATCGCTGTTACAAATTTTTTTCAAATTTCCTACCAAATTTATCTAATTTTACTGGGCTATGTATGCGCGGCACTGTTACCAACTTGGTGCTTTTCGCACTAAATTTAGTGTTTTTCTTTATTCGAAACGCGACTTTGGTGCTCGGTGCGTTTTTTGGCGCTTCTTTTATGTTGCTTGGACCAGAAATCGACCTTCAGCCCTTTAGTTTGTTATTTTTCATGACTATTCAAAAAAGCAGCAGCACCTCCTTACAGCTAAATTAATAAAGAACATTTTGAAGAAATAATAATCGAAATTGTATGCAATTTGTAGAGGATGCAGCTTTTTGACACAAAAACATTTTTCCTACTAAGCGCCGGTGGATAATACGCTCAAATAAGACACATTAAAAAGGGAGATTAAATTTCGTTATGTTTCAGGTGCGGTGTAGATTTAAACTCCCACATAGTTCATGAAATTTTATTTTTTGTTTTTGCTTTCGTTTGAAAGGGATTGTTGAATAAATCTAAAATTTAAACAGCTAGGGGAAAATTTATCAAACGCAACGCTGGACAAAAATATTTGAATTTATAGAAAACAATAAATTCGACCCGTGGGCAAGAAACATTGATTTTTATTAGTTTGAATCGGAATCCCTACAATCAAATTTTTTATGCATACAAAGTCCCTTAAATACTAAGGAAAAAATTCGGTGTTATTTTATAGAAAATACCCGATTTTTTTTTGGGTTTTAGTGCTTTTCCAAATTCAAAACTTGGCGACACTGCTTGAAGTATTTATTTGATTGTCTCCGTGGCGCTTAAGGTTCTTTGCTTTCAGTTTTTGTTTACAAATGCAACCCTGCCTACAGAGCTGGGCGATAAGGATAACATGTGTAATCGATTGCATTTAGGATTACGATTACTTTAATCGCAATTTCAAAAATTATTAAATTAGGATTGCGGTAATCGTTCATTGAATACACCTTAGATTACGATTACAGTAATCGTAATTTCAACTTTTTTAATTACAATTACTGTAATCGTAATCTAAGTTCGTTCGATGAATGATTAGAATAATTTTAAATTAAACATTTTTCTAATTACAATCTTTTGAGTAATCTTAAACGAAGTTATTCTATAAATTTGCGAAATATAAATGCGCGCTAACGATAATATGAGGATAATATGTATTTATTTAAAAAAAACAGCAAATAAAAGAAACTAATATTAAAATAAAAATAATAAGTAAAGCAGTTTGGGCGAGTAAACTTGTATAACCGGCAAATAAAACAATACAGGATTAAATTTAAAGTAATCGTTCATCGAACGAACTTGGATTACGATTACAGTAATCGTAATTTTAACTTTTTTATACCCGAGCGCACTTGTGCACAAGGGTATATTAATTTTGTTCACATAACGGTTGTTTGTAACAGCCAAAACGAATCCAGATAGTGAGACAAATGTATACATAAATGCTCAAAATGAATAGAGAAGTCGATTAAGCCATGTCTGTCTGTCCGCCCGTCTGTCCGTCCGTCCGTGTACACGATAACTCGGGCAAAAATTGAGATATCTCAAGGAAATTTTAGGTTTGTGGTATGCAGGTTTCCAATTATCCAAGGTAGGTTGGTATTGAAAATGGGCGAAATCGGACTGTAACCACGCCCACTTCCCATATAACGGTAATTTTCAGAAATACGAAAACTGCGATATTTTAGTAACTACTGAAGATTATTCACTCAAAATTGATATTTACAATAACTTTTAGACGAAAAATAAGAATATTATAAATTTTTGGAAAATGGGCGTAGCCACGCCCATTTATGGTTACATGTGTATATCTTCGTAACCGCTGCACCAATTTCTTCCAAACTTGGCACAGTTATTGGCCTTGGCACAGCATTCTACGAATTTGTACCAAACTCGGTATAGTTATTGTGCTTGCCACATAAAAGCAAAACGTTGCAAATTATTGTAATCGGACTAAAATTGAGGCCGCTTTTCATATAACGGTAAATTTCAGAACTGCTTGAAACTTCAAAATTTCGAAATTTAAGGACTCTAGTTTACTCAAAATTGATACGCCCGGACTTACCATGTAGAGGTAGTTTTCGGAAAGGTGAAAGTCATATATTAAATACTTGCGCCGGGTATTTAATGTTCGGTTCCGCCCGAACTTAGACTTTCTTACTTGTTAAAATTACGATTACTGTAATCGTAATCTAAGTTCATTCGATGAAGGATTACTGTTATCGTAATCTTTTTTTAGCTTGTTGGGATTACTGCAATCCTAATCGTTTAGTAATCGTAATCATTATCGCCCAGCTCTGCCTGCCTATCGTTTGACACTTTTCATGAATTTGCAGGAAGAAAAACTTCGGACTAAGACCTGCAACTTCTGACTGAGAGAGAGTGCAAGTTACTCTCACATAGGGACGTTCCGATACCATCAAAGTATCGATACCTACTCAAATGAGTTTACTCAAATTAGCTATTTCGATACTACTTATATGAGTCAAGCGAATGTATCGATACCTACTTATATCGATAATTTTTCATCCTTTTAAATTCAACAAAGCGAAAGTAATTTTCAGGCGTTTTCTGTGACATAAAGCTTTGCGGCACCTGAGTGGAAGATCGACCTATCTCGGAAGAAAGTTCGAAAACGACCTATCTCAGAAAACTTTTCAAAAGCGCCCTATTTCAGAATTTGATTGGAAAACGCCCTATCGTAGAAAACTTTTCAAGAACACCCTATTTCAGAAATCGGTTCAAAAACGCCCTATCTCAAATATTTTCAATATATTTGCAGTTGAGGTATCGATATGTATATTTCTTCTTTAGTAGCACTTAAAGTAATACGATTACTTAGACAAAAAATTCAACCTTTGAAAGGATCCCACAAAACTTTACTACTATAAAGATTGCTTACACTTTGTTGTGGTATCACTAATATGTAAAAATATATCCACACTTTAGAATTTGGCGGTGTAATTGCTTAAAACATTTTTTTTAAATGAAAACGAAGCAACTATTTTCCATAGAAAAAATATTATCGACAGGATATGGCACTTTCTCAAATCGATTCGATACAAGTACTTTTCTTTCGATACCAAGTAGGTATCGAAACAACCATTCGAGTAAAAAAAGTAGTTGGTATCGAAACAAAAGTATCGAGTACATACTCGTATTTACTTGTATCGGAACATCCCTACTCTCACAAGAGTGGTTTGACTTACAGGTTTTTTTGGCACCTGTGCGCTGTTTGTCAAGTGTAATTGCTTATAAAAATTTTAAAACTACAATTAAAAAAATTCTCAGAATCCCTTTCTCATTTATAAACCTTTCTACTCACAACTTTTCACGCAAATATTCCAACTTAACTGCAATCCGAGGTCCAGTTGAAAAATTTTCACCCATAATTAAGTATATATAGATATGTACATATTTAAATTCAGATTAGACAAAATGAAGCCGCAAATTATAATTAGCAACATATTTTTTTTTTTCAGTCACTATGTTTAAAGGACTAAAAATGAAATCAAGTAAGTATACTTAAATGCTTCATACAAAAATATTTTGATTTTTAGAAATATTTTCCATGAGCCAAGGTTAAAAATTCAGTGCTATTGGTTTTGAAGCTTTTTGGCCGGTTATAATAAATAAAACAAGTGTTTACTTCTTCTCTTACGCGTTTCGACGCATAGTCGCGTCTTCTTCAGGGAGTTTTAATATTAAGAAATAAAATTATCACAACATAAATTAAACATATTTAAAAACATTAAGACACGTTAAAAAACACTGCACATCCTCCATCGTCAAACCTCAGACATTGTGTCTGACACATTCTCACAATCTCACAAAAATAATGATCTATTAGCATTATACAATTACACAGTGATACAAAAGTAAACAAAACAAGAAATAAATAATATAAAAAAAACTTTTTAATATACAACGCTTTTATA